CTCGAGATGATTTCTGGGATGTGGTCCTTTAGTACGGTGGGAACAGCATCAGCCTGGAGTCCTCGCCCTCCCCAGCCGAGGGGGAAGTGCCGGCGCCCCAGGTACCAGCCGTACAGCAGGAAGCGCCGCGGCGTGGCGGCCAGCAGCATGGGCGGCCGCGCAGGCGGGGGCCCCGCGTGGGGGGGGGGCAGTGTACCGCCGATGGGCCTGGCCAGAGCAGCGGGGGCCTTCGACCTCGAGGGTCGAGGGTCGTTTTTTTTTTTTTTTTTTTTTTTTTTTTTTTTTTTTTTTTTTTTTTTTTTTTTTTTTTTTTTCTCTCTCTCTTTTTTCTTCTTCTCTCTCTATAGATATATGTATTTGAACATCTTCATAACTATATGAGTATGCATGGATATATGCTTATACATACATAATTACACAATATATATACATATGTGTATATATTTATATGTTCTTATATATGTATAAAATGTAGACTGACCTCTGGGAGTTCTCTCGCGGTCTGGCACGGCTGGATTTGCCCGGAGATTCTGGACCAGTCGCGCCCCTGGGGAGGTCAGGAGGCGGACCCTTGAGGGGAGGCCCAGGCTCCCTTAGCGTTAAGATATAGGACGTGACCGAAGGTCATTTGGCCGTTTTTGGCACTGGCGGCCCCTTTCTGGGCCCTGGGGCTCAGGATGAACAACTGGCCTTTGCGAAGTGGGCGATACATTTGGGTGTCCACGTTGGGAACAAAAGTCACGGCGTTGGGGGGTCCAAGGGGATGGGGGTGGGAGGGGGTATGAGGGAGGAAGAAGGGACGGGGTAGGAGGAACGAGGAAGGGAGCAGGCGGGAGGATTTGTTTTGTGATATATAACGTATGCATGCATGCATGTATGCATTCATGCATGCATGCATGCATGTATGTATGTATGTATGTACGAATGTATGGATGGGGATGGATGTATGGGTGTATGTATGTATGACTGTATGGTTGTATAGTTGTATGGATGCATGGATGTATGGACGCATGGATGTAATGTATGTATGTATGGATGGATGCAATGTAATGTTTTGTAATGTAGTGTAATGTAATTTAATGTGATGTTATGTGATATTGTGTGATGTAAGGTTACGTATGTATGTATGCATGTATGTGTGTATGTGTGTATGTATGTATGTATGTATGTATGTATGTATGTATGTATGTATGTATGTATTTACGTGTGTACGTACGTATGTACGTATGTATATATGTACGTATGTATGCATGTATGCATTGATGGATACATGTATGCATGTATACATTGAACTTTTATGCATGTATGCATGTACGCATGTACGTACGTACGTACGTTTGTATGCGCATATGTATTCTATGTATTGTATGTACGCTGTGTATGTATGTATGTATGTGTGTATGTACATATGCATGCATGCATGTATATAAACATAGATATTCGTACACATCTACTCACATACATATAGGTGTACACACTGAACGGAGCCTTGGGCGCCCCCATTTTTTCGGAGTGGCATGCGAAACAATGAACGCACATGTTTTTACCAAAGGCAAATAAACGTCATTCAAAGCTATCGATTTTGTTCGAAGGGAACATGTAAACTCCATTAGACAATTAGAGCACAGCTCACAACACTGGATCAACGCCACATAACATGAGTTTTGCAATATTCAGGATTCAGTCTTGACACATCTAGGGAATTCTCTTGGTTTTGAAGTTTTTTATATGATTATTTATCGAACGCACCTTTTTTGTTTTTCCTTGTCCGATTTTCGCTTTCAACTTCTTCATCCGGGAAGGGAACGCAGAAACTCCTGAAACCATAAAAACACATACTCAACCAAGCAACCAACGACACAATTTGTTCCCCTTAAAGGGGACTCTTCGTTTTGATTAGTGTAAGATGTTTTTTTGAGCAGCATTTTGTGTTCTCTTTGGTTTGTGTGTGTGTGTGCGTGTGTGTGTTTGTAGCTGTTTTTTCTTGTTGGTGATCTTGTTGTTGTTGTTGTTGCTGTTGTTACCGTTGTGTCTGTGTGCGTGTGCGTGTGCGCGTTTGTTTGTTGGTTTGCTTGTTACTTTCTCCTGAAAACTCTTCTGTTGATTTGGAAGACACTTTCCGTTAGTCAAAGCAAGATTTCGAACAGACTTTGCATAGACTGAGACTACAGCTCATAACATTGAGCCGAAGCATTCGGCAACACATCGGGCCCACATACGCCTTGGAGTGCAAATAATCCCAGCACCCGTATTTCAGACCCCTTCAGGTTGAGTAACACAAGGGGGTCTCGACTTGCGAATGCATATCAGGTAATGCCCTTTTCCCACCCTGAAGCCCCTCGCAAAGGGGGTCCCTGGGGAGACACCGGTTGAGTCAACACGGAAGTCCCTTCTGTGTTTCTTTAGCCTTCTCGGCTGTATTATACGGGCTGGATCAGAGACCATCTTGATTTCGATTGAGGTATTCACCACGGGAGTGATTTTGCTTCGTAGCATCAACCGGTTTGGTTCTAGCAAGGCCTTACAAGCCGGCTTTCGCACTACAATCTTTCATTTATGGTAAACCATGCAATTTGGGTGTATTTTTTGACCCCCCCTGTTTCTTGAAATGGGGGGGGGGAAATAATTTGGTATTATGGTGTTTTACCTTTTGTAACAATCATCGAACCTTGATGTTAGGTAGAGGGCAAGCAAGAGACCAGCAATTGCCGAAAGGAGAAGACACTTGATGGCAGGCGAAGTGAATGAAGAGGAGTGATATGATGATTGGGAATAGTCAGAGTCAGAGTCAGAGGAGGAGGAGGAGGCGGAGGAGGAGATGGAGGAGGAGGAGCAGGAGGAGCAGCAGGAAGAGGAGGAGGAGGAGGGGGATGAGGAGGAGGAGGAGGAGGAGGAGGAGGAGGAGGAGGAGGAGGGAGGACAGGAGGAGAAGAGGGGGGAGGAGGAGAAGGGGCGGAGTAAGAGGAGGCAGAGGCGGAGGCGGAGGCGGAGGAGGAGGAGGAGGAGGAGGAGGAGGAGGAGGAGGAAGAGAACAAGGAAGAGGAGGATAATGATGTACTTCACAATTGTGAGAGTGCTGGCTCAATCAGCGTTGACAGAGATTGTTGGGTTCCTTACGTTATTGGCTTCAGCTGTGCATCTCATACATTTGTTCTGGTCATCTCATATGTTATGAGAGCCTGCCATCAATTTTGGTTCAGTGCGATGGAAGACAAATGATGCAGCACATAACGACAGGGTCACCTGCAAACAAGTTGTGAGTCGACATCCAGCTTGTTAAATGTGCTTCGACAGATGCCCATCACGATTCTAGTCACCAGGTGCCAGCAGACAACTGGCCTCTGGGTTGCATTAGGAGTTGAAGATATACGAGGTAACCAAGAATACTTTTGATTTATATAACACTTGTATTTTGTGCCCCTTAGACCATGGTTTCAAGTTCATAATTTCGCGTAGCAGAGGGGGCAAGGAAACGCACCAGCGAACCCCAGCAGTTGTCCAACATATCTAAAAGTCGTTCGTAACTCGCGATGTGCTTGGTGTGCTTCAAACTGATAATACCGATATTTCTTTTGACCCTGTCCTGGCCACGATGCGGAAATTCGCGTAGAGCCGTCTTGCAACTGTTGAAGACGCGCGTGCGCGGCGCTCACGCGAGACCCACGGTTTGAACGCCGCCCGCCCTCAGCCCGTGAAGCTCTCGCGAATTTTGAGGACGAGTCCGCGCGGCGCTGAGGCGAAAACCACATGTGGAAAACCGCCCGCTCTCCGTCCGTGAAGCTTTCGCAAATTTTGAATCGGGCGAAGAGAACTATGCACATGCACTGATCCTGGCAAGGCCCATCCTTGACCCAGGATCGGTGCACATGCCTTCCTGGCCAATGTAGGAGGGCGTATGCACCGATCATGGGCTCAGGATGGGCCTGGCCAGAATCGGTGCATGTGCATAGTTCTCTTTCCTCTATTTGAGGACGAGCGCGCGCGCCGCTGCGGCGATAGGCCCGCCCTCCATCATCCGTGCGAAACGCTGGCAAGTCTCTGAGAGCCTCAGGGCCGTGCGTGGCGAGGAGGCATCGCCTTCTCGACTGGCCTCGGGGGCTGCGACGGGGAGGAGTGATTTGTGAGAAACTGAAATGAAGGAGGAGGAGGTGGAGGAGGACGAGGAGGAGGAGGAGGAGGACGAGGGGGAGGGAAAGAAGGAGGAGGATGAGAAGGAGGGAAAAGAGGCTGAGGGAGGAGGGGAGGAAGGAGGAGGAGGAGGACGAGGATGAGGAGGAGGATGAGGAGGAGTAAGACGAGGAGGAGGAAGAAGAGGAGGAGGAGGAAGAGGAGGAAGAACAGGGGGAAGGCAGGGAGGGAGGGAGGAAGAGAGGGAAGAGTAATAGGAGGGGGAGAAGAAGGACGAACGAAAAGGCGGCGACATTCGTAGGAGCAGGAGGAGGATCCGCCTCAGGTGGTGGTAGTGGTGGCCTGTGGGGCGACCTGGGGGGCACCGGCCACCCGTGCCCCTTGCCAGCCACGCGCTGCCTTTGCTTCTCTCCCTTTTCCTCCCACCCTGGGGAGAAACGGAGGAGGTGGAACGAAGGGGTGGGGGAGTGAGGAGAAACTCGGGCCGAACGAAAGGGGGGAATAGGGAAAGGGGGGATTACGAAATCTGCTGCATGCAGTTGGTTTCGGCCCCGCCGCCGGGCCCATTCCTCGATACATGGGCGCCTCCCAGCGCCGGGAGGCGCCGGGAAAACCAACTACGTGAGCTGATTCTCACCCCCCCCCTTTGCTATCCCCCGCTTTCGCCTGGTCCGAGTGGGGGAGTGAGGAGAAACAGAGGACAGAGGCTGGGGTGAGGGGAGTGGGGAAGAACAAGCTAGGTACGCTCGCGTCGTATCTGACGTCCTAGCCCTCCCTCCCATCCCTTACCCTGGCGTAGATATCCTCTCTATTCGCACAGTCGGATGTCGAGCAAGGCAGTGATCGCGAGAGGGTAGGCGATGCATGGTAGAGCACGGCGTGGCATCGCGTAGAAGAGCACGGCAGAGTGTAGCATGCCATAGCATGGCGTGGCATTGCGCAGTGAAGCATTGCATCACAAAGCATTGCAACGCAAAGCATGGCATCGCACAGCGGCGCAGAACACAGCACCGCATAGCATGTCATGGCATGGCGCCGGTTCCTTGGAGGGTAAGTGGATCGTCTTCGGGAGGTCTGGGCCGGTCTGGAGTCGTGGCTCCATGTCTAGCTCTTTGGGCTCCCCGAAAAGCTCCACACAAAGCGGGGCCGATGGAGATCTCCCGCTGGCTCTGCTTTCAACATCCCCTTCTCAAAGCAGAAACGGGGCTCCCGCTTGATACTTCCCGAAAGCGACGACGGCCCCAAAGTGGCTGCGGCCCAGATAGTCAACGAATCGGCACCAAATGTGTAATCACTTCCGATGGTTTTTCGGAGGGGCATTTCCTGGATTTTGGGGCATATTTGGAAGGACCGAAAACGCCCGCGCTGCAGCGGGAACACGATTTGGAACAACCGGAGGCGCAGAAATGGGGCCAGCGCTTCAGCGGGAGCAGGATTTTGAAAACAAGCCCAAGCGAAAACCCATTTCCTGGGAATCTTGTGTGTAAAAACTGTACGCGAAAGGGGGCCTTCCGGACGTCGTCAATGGAGAGAGGAGAGAAGTATCCATATGGTGTAATTGTGGAGGGGGGATGGGGGAGGGGAGGAGGAGGAGGAGGAGGAGGAGGAGGAGGAGGAGGAGGAGGAGGAGGAGGAGGAGGAGGAGGAGGAGGAGGAGGAGGAGGAGGAGGAGGAGGAGGAGGAGGAGGAGGAGGAGGAGGAGGAGGAGGAGGAGGAGGAGGAGGAGGAGGAGGAGGAGAGGAGGAGGAGGGAGGAGGAGGAGGAGGAGGAGGAGGAGGACGGAGGAGGAGGAGGAGGAGGAGGAGGAGGAGGAGGAGGAGAGGAGGAGAAGGAGGAGGAGGAGGAGGAGGGAGAGAGGAGAGAGAGGAGGAGGAGGAGCAGGAGGAGGGATGAGTGAGGAGGAGGAGAAGGGGAGGAGGAGGAGGGAGGAGAAGAGGAGGAGGAGCAGGAGCAGGAGAAGGAGAGGAGCAGGAGCAGGAGCAGGAGGAGGAGGCGGAGGAGGAGGAGGAGGACGAGGAGGAGGCGGAGGAGGAGGAGGATAATGAGCATGAGGATGAGGAGGAAGACGAGGAGGAGGAGGAGGAGGAGGAGGAGGAAGAGGATGAGGAGGAGGAGGAGGATGAGGAGCAGGAGGAGGAGGAGGAGGAGGAGCTGAGGAGGAGGTGGGGGAGGAGGAGGAGGAGGAGGAGGAGGAGGAGGAGGAGGAGGAGGAGGAGGAGGAGGAGGAGGAGGAGGAGGAGGAGGAATACGAGGAGGAGGAGGAGGAGGAGGAGGGGAGGAGGAGGAGGAGGAGGAGGAGGAGGGGGAGGGGGGGATGCGGAGGAGGATGAGGAGGAGGAGGAGAAGGAAGGAGGCGGAGGAGGAGGGGGAAGAGGCGGAGGAGGCGGAGGAGGAGGATGAGGAGGAAGGGAGGGGAGGAGGAGGAGGAGGAGGAGGAGGAGGAGGAGGAGGAGGAGGAGGAGGACGAGGAGTAACGCAGGATATGATCAAGCGGCGGAGGATGAGGAGCACGACGAAGCGGAGGAGAAGAAGCAGGAAGCGGCAGGGGGGGGAGGAGGAGTCGGAGGAGGAGGAGGAGGAGGAGCTGTGGAGAAGACGAGGAGGAGGAGGAGGGAGATGACAGCGTTGACGATCATGTCGATTGTGATTGTGATCGCGACTGTAGTGTTGACGGTCTGATGATCTGTTGCTGTTGTTGGTGCTGATAATGTTGGCTCTGATACTGATTTTCGGGGTAGTGATGATGATGATGATGATGATGATGATGATGATGATGATGATGATGATGATGATGGGGGTGGTGGTGGTGGTGGTGATGATGATGATGCTGATGATGATGATGATGATGATGCTGGTGGTGTTGATATCCATGCTGCGGCTGCGGCTGCTGCTGCTGATGATGCTGATGCTGATGCTGATGATGGCGATGCTGCTGTTGATGATGCTGCTGTTACTTGTAATGGTGATTATCATGGTGATGACGGTGACCTGATGTTGATGGTGATGATGCCGTGGCTGATGATGATGATGCAGATGCTGATGCTGATGATGACCATGATGCTGATTATGCTGATGATGATGATGATGATGATGATGATGATGATGATGAGGATGATGATGATGATGATGATGATGCTGATGATGGCGATGATGATGACGATGCTGTGATCGATGACACTGCCGAGGCCGATGATGCTGATGATGATTATGATGCTGATGATGATGCGGATTCTCATGCTGCTGCTGATGATGATGCTGATGACGATGCTGCTGATGATGATGCTGATGATGATGCTGATGCTGATGCTGATGATGCTGCTTCTGCTGGTGATGAGGATGATGCTGATGCTGAGGATGATGATATTTGATGAGGATGCTGCTGATGCTGACGATGATGCGATGCTGATGATGCTGATGATGATGATGCTCATGATGACGATGGTGATGATGCTGATGGTGACGATGGTGATACTGATGCCGATGCTGATGCTGATGCTGATGTTGAGGATGATGATGATGCTGAGGATCACAATCAGGATGATGATGATAACGATGCTAATGACGCTGCTGATGACGATGATGATGATGATGATGATGATGATGATGATGATGCTGCTGCCGATGCTGATGGTGATGATGATGGCGATGATGATGATGATGATGATGATGATGATGATGATGATGATGATGATGATGATGATGATGATGATGATGATGATGATGATGATTATGGTGATGATGACATCGACGAGTTGGAGGATGAAGCGGATGACATATACTATGGAGAGAACGGAGCGGTTCAAACGGAACTGCGGCGTGAGCTCGCAAGGGCGGTAGGAAACATCCAGAGCAAGCCTCTGGCGGTGCTGATGTTTCCTCTCTTCGTCCTCCTCCCTTCTTCTTTCCTCACTCTCTGGGTCTTACCTTGGAGTGGTACCCGAGACGACCTTGCGGGGCGAGGAGGACGGGGAGGAGGAAGGGGAGGAGGAGAAACAGCAGGAGGAGGCGGAGCAGCAGCAACCGCAGGGGCAGCATGATTAGGGACAGCGAGAAAAACATGATGACGATGAGGATGGTGGTGGTTGATGATGTTGATGATGGTGATGTTGAAGAGGAGGAGCACTCCATTGCGCTTAGTTTGCCATACGACGGTCATTACTTGGCCTTGAATGTAGCCCGAGGGCTTGAATAATCATCATCGTGAGGGGCTGGAGAAGGATGGACATCGAGGAGAAGATGGGAGAGGGGCAGGCGGAAGGACAGCGACGATGATGATGCTGAGGAGGAGGATGAGGCGGAGGAAAACGATGAGCGTAAACAAGTCGGAGGGACAGTCAATTTCGAGGATGGTTTACGATGATGGTTATGACGACGGTGAAGATGCTGATGATGACAATTATCCCAATGCATGATGCCAAGGGTGACGATGTCGATGGTGATGGTGATGATGATGATGATGATGTCGTTGAAACCAATGAATGGGGGATTATGATGGTGATGACGATGCTGATGTTGATGCCGGCGACGACGACGATGATAATGCTGGTAATGATAATGATGAGGATGAGGATGATGATGATGATGCTGGTGATGAGTATCGAACGAAAATGTCGACGATGACGATGACGATAACGATGTCGATGACGATGGCTACGGTGACGACGACGAAGCCGTTGCTGATAATGATGCAGATGATGCTGAGGATGGCGCTGAGGCTGAGGCTGAGGCTGAGGTTGATGATGATGATGATGATGTTGATAGCGATGCCGAATGCGATTTGGATGATGATGATGATGATGGTGGTGGTGGTGGTGGTGGTGGTGATGGTGGCAATAATGATGATGATGATGCTGATGATGGTGATGGTGATGGTGCTGATGATTCTGACGATTACGATGGTAACGATGACGATGCTGGTGACGACGATGACGATTACGACGACGATGAGGATGCCATATAATATTGGGATGATAATGAAGAAGATGATGATGCTGCTGCTGATGATAATGATGGTGATGATGGTGATGATGTTGGTGGTGGTGGTGGTGCTGAGTATGATGGTGATGATGATGCTGATTGTGATTATGATGGTGATGATGCTGATGATGCTGATGGTGATGGGCGTCATGATGATGATGATTATTCTGAGGATGATGCTGCTGTTGATGATGATACTGATGTTGACGAGGATGGTGAAGGTGATGGTGATGGTGATGATGCTGCTGATGATGATGAGGGTGATGATGGTGATGGCGATGATGCGGACGATGATGGTGATGGGGATGATGATGATGATGATGCTGATGATGACGACGAGGATGGTGATCGTGATGGTGATGGTGATGATGATGCTTCTGTTCCTGCTGCTGCTGATGATGATGATGGTGATGGTTGTGATGACGATGATGATGATGATGATGATGATGATGATGATGAGGATGAGGATTAAGACGAGGAAGATGATGATGGCGATGATGATGATGATGATGATGATGATGCTGCTGCCGATGCTGATGGTGATGATGATGGCGATGATGATGATGATGATGATGATGATGATGATGATGATGATGATGATGATGATGATGATGATGATGATGATGATGATGCTGATGATGATGATGATGATGATGATGATGACTGCGATGATGATGATGATGATGATGATGATGATGATGATGATGATGATGATGATGATGACGGCGATGATGATGATCATCAGGATGATGTTGATGGTGCTGATGTTGATGTTTGTAATGCTGATGGTGAGGGTGATGATGACGACGAAACCGATGATGATCATGATGATGCTGATTAGTATGATGATGCTGATGATGCTGATGATGATGATGATGGTGGTGGTGGTGCTGCTGCTGATGATGATGCTGATGATGACGATGATGATGAGGATGATGATGATGATGATGATGATGCTGATGATGATGATGATGATGGTGATGATGGTGGTGGTGGTGGTGATTATGATGATGGTGCTGATGATGCTGCTGCTGCTGCTGATGATGATGATGATGATGATGATGATGATGATGACGATTATGATGATGCTGATTCTGATGCTGGTGCTGATGATGATGATGATGATGATGATGATGATGATGATGATGATGAGGAGGAGGAGGAGGAGGAGGAGGAGGAGGAGGAGGAGGAGGAGCAGGAGGGTGATGAGGATGATGATAATGATGACCATCCACCGCTCCTCGAGATCCCAGGGCACGATCCAGTCCCAGTGTGCTGTCGGGCCAGGATCTCGAGGCCGATCCAGCCACGGCCACGAGGAGCTCCCATGAGGCTCAGCAGAGGCGATGAGTGCGCCCAGAGGCCTCGAGCACCGTTCCTCGATGACTCGACCCTCGACCTCGAGCCGCGGGGTGGTCGCCGTTCGGGCAGGGCGTGGGCGACGAGGGCCGAGCCTTCTGTCCTCCTGGCGTCCTCGACCCTCTGTCCTGCGAGGGGACGGCCCTCGCAGGAGCTGGGGGGCGGGGACGAGGCGGACGCGGTCCACCGCCAGAACATGTTCATGTCCATCGCTCCGGAGTCGTGCCCTGAGATCTCGAGGAGTAGTGGACATGGATATCTGCCCGCCCGCATGGGCAGGGCAGAAATGCTCACATCCACCGCTCCCCGAACCCCCAGGACGCGACCCGCGGCAGTGGATATGGACACTCTGGCGGCGCATGCGGATGGTGATGTTGGCCCGTGGGTGCCTCGCCTTCTGCCCGGCGTGGCCCATCAGTTGGACGCGCAGCGTGGTGCCGCCATGTGCTCCACGAGCTCTAGGACGCGAAGAGCACAAAGGGCGGGCAGCGCGGTACCGCCACTGGCCATACGAAGAGTACTTCGAGCTCTCCACGCACGGCTCGATGGCCCCATCTGCTGCGAGGCAGAAAGAGCCTTGACCGCCGATCCCCGAGCCGCGAGGTACCCGCCGTTCGCCGAGGGCATGGGCGACTTCCCGCAGGGCTTCGGGGCCCACGGGGCGTTTGCGGGCTTCCCGCAGCCGCCAGGCTCCCCACGGGGTGGCGCTCGCCCTCCTCGCAGCGAGTCGTCGGTCGTCGGTCGTCGGTCGTTTCTGTTATCCGTCGTCTGTGCCGTTTTTGTCGTCTTTGTCATTGTCTTCGTCGTCGTCGTCGTCGTCATCGTGGTCGCGTGGTCGTCCTCGTGTGGCCCCAGGCGCACCAGTCGCCCTCCTCTTTGGAAGGGGCCCGCATGGTCTGACCCGCACGTTCTGACTTGTTTCGTTCAGAGAGGCAAGGTGGGGGTGCTGGTGGCGGTTTCGCTATCGGGGGCCTATTGCCGATCTATCGGCGATGTTCGGTGGCGAGCCTGGAGGGGAAGTGAGAAGGGCCTTCGGAGAAGTTGTCTACGCCTGCCCCGAAGGCACAGACAACTTCTCAGAAGGCGCGGATGGCTTCCGAGAAGCCCCGCCGCCTTTTGAGAAGGCCTGAATACTGTTACTTGTGTCCATTTACTTGTGTGTCCCAGGGCCCCTTCACTGGTCCCCACTCCGCCTTCCCCTCCGGGCGGCAGCCGCCGCTGCGCTTCCCTGGAGGTTGTCTGCAGGCCCCCTGTGGAGGCCTGCGGCGGCCCCTGAAGGGCCAGGACGGGCCCCGAGCGCTCCAGCCTGGAGCCTCGAGCACGCCCTTTGGGGGCGTCCGACGCGGGTGTCTTTCCAGAGCATGGCCCCTGAGGAGGAGGAGGAGGAGGAGGAGGAGGAGGAGGAGGAGGAGCTTCCTCGGGGCGCAGCTCTCCTGCCCGGACCCGTTTTCGATGGCCCCGGAGCCCGATGGCTCCAGGCCTCCCACGTGGGGCCCGAGTGGATAGGGTCGGAGGATCGCGCCGCACCGCCGATGCATCGGCGATGCGGCTCGATGTGGGGAGCCCGAGTTTCTCCACGCCGACGTCGCCGCTGCATCGCCGACGTCGCGGATGCATCGCCGATACAGGGCCGATGCGTTGGCGATGCGGCGCGATCGTCCAACCCCATCCACTACGGTAGGTTCGCGTCGTGTCGACCGGGGGCGATCCCACCGCCAGCGTTCAACGTTGAGCGCCGCCGGCGACCCAGGATCGGTCGGTGTTCAACGATTGGACGTTTCGCCACGGCCGATCTTTCAAGGTCGAACGATCCCCATGGTGTCATGAACCAACGCTGGGGGTTGACACGACACGAGCCCGCGGTACTCGGACCCTATTCGAGAGGCCTCTGATGACGGGCCCCAGGGGCCGAAGTCGAGGAACGTCGCTGCGAGCGAGCGAGCCACACGAGCAGCCCCGCCGTCTGCTCGGCCGCGTGCAGGGCACGCGTGCACGATCCAGGAGAGCGTTGGGGTCGAAGACGTCGGGGCCGAAGCGCTGTGGGAACGGAGCGAAGCCATGCCGCGGGATGTCCTCGTGGCCGAGGCTCGGCGTGGCCAGGGGAGCCCCCCCCCCCCCCTCGCTCCTTGGAGGAGGAGGAGGAGGAGGAGGAGGAGGAGGAGGAGGAGGAGGAGGAGGGAGGAGGAGGGAGGAGGAGGAGGAGGAGGAGGAGGAGGAGGAGGAGGAGGAGGAGGATGATGCCCCCCTCTGCTCCGCGCTGCCTCCTGGCAGCACGGGGGCAGCACCTCTGCGCTGTGCCCCAGCTGCGATCCTCCGGGAGCCTGCGTGGAGGCCTCTGGCCTCCTCCAGGGGTTGCGGCGGGGACGAGGGGCGGCTCCGTGGTGGGTTTCGCCTCGAGGCCTGCTCAGCTTGAAGCTCGAGCCTGAGCGGCAACGGAAGTCTGCATTCACGGCAGACCGCCACCTGCCCCATCCACCCCTCCATTCGCATGTGGTTGCCTAGCGTGACCAAACGTTAAAGAAATACCTTGGGAGGATGGTGGTGGTCACAGCGCCCTCACGGGACGTAGACGCAGCAACATATTCCCGATTCATCGTCGTCGTCGTCGTCGTCGTCGTCGTCGCCGTCGCCGTGGAGGCCCCCACGCCACAGCCGGCGATCCAGACGAGAAACAGCCATTTGTTCAATCGCCCCTGCCCATTTTGTTTTTTCATCGTTCGGTCGCACTGCTGGTGCTGCTGCTGCTGGCCCCCCGCACGACCCGCGGCGCAGGCGGCGTGGCTGGTATGGCTGGCGGGGGCGGCGCCCCCGGCGGCGCCCCCAGCGGCGACGCTGGCGGCGCGCCATTAAGCGAGCCCAGCGGCGTCCCAGGCAGCACCGTCGCCGGCGACGCGGGCGGCTCGTGGCCACGGGAGCAGTCGTCGTCAGCGTCGTCAGCGTCGTCGTCGTCGTTGTCGTCGTCTTCGTCGTCGTCGTCGTCATCGTCGTCGTCGTGGCCGTGGTCGTCGTCGTCTCTCGAGGTGGAGGAGGAGTTGAGGAGGAGGAGGAGGAGGAGGAGGAGGAGGAGGAGGAGGAGGAGGAGGAGGAGGAGGAGGAGGAGGTGGAGGACGATCGATGATCGATGATCGGGTTCTTTGGAAGTGTCTGCCCCTCTTTGGGCCTTCAGAGCCCACAAAGGTCTCGGGGGGCCCTCAGAGTCTTCCTGAGGCCTTCAGTTGTTGCCGAGGGCCTTTTGGGCCTCCCGGGGCGCCCTCGCTGCACTGCTGGATCCCAGAACGCACTCCAGGAAAGGTGAGGCAGGAACGGGCTTTGGAACGAGGGTCGCTCCTGGGCCTTCTTCAGGCCTCCCGGGGCGCGGCCTCGCAGCCACGGCGGGATCAGCTCCGAAATTTTGGCGACAATGCATTCTGAGGAGGAGGAGGAGGAGGAGGAGGAGGAGGAGGAGGAGGAGGAGGAGGAGGAGGGGAGGAGGACGATCGATGATCGATGATCGGGTTCTTTGGAAGTGTCTGCCCCTCTTTGGGCCTTCAGAGCCCACAAAGGTCTCGGGGGGCCCTCAGAGTCTTCCTGAGGCCTTCAGTTGTTGCCGAGGGCCTTTTGGGCCTCCCGGGGCGCCCTCGCTGCACTGCTGGATCCCAGAACGCACTCCAGGAAAGGTGAGGCAGGAACGGGCTTTGGAACGAGGGTCGCTCCTGGGCCTTCTTCAGGCCTCCCGGGGCGCGGCCTCGCAGCCACGGCGGGATCAGCTCCGAAATTTTGGCGACAATGCATTCTGAGGAGGAGGAGGAGGAGGAGGAGGAGGAGGAGGAGGAGGAGGAGGAGGGGGAGGAGGAGGAGGGGCTGCAGGAGGAGGGGCTGCAGGCAGCTCCAAAATGTTGGCCACAATGCACTCCGAGAGAGGGTAGGCAGGAGGAGGCTCAGGCCTTCGGGGGGCGCCCCCGTCGCCACGGCAGGCTCCGCCCCGACGTCCTGGCCCGAGTGCGTCTGGGGAGTGGTCTTATGTCGGGCCTGTCCCGCTACAGGGGGATTTTCGACGAAAAAATGAAATACCCCCAACATGCTCCAACAAGGTCAAATCATATTCAAAAAAATACCCCCAGTCTATTTTTGGAGTATTTTTTAAATTATTGTTGGGGTACTTTTTATTTTTAGGAGGCCACAGGAGGTCCTTTGCTGTGCCCCGCCCATGTCGGCCCTCCTCCTGAGACGCTTCATGCAGCACCTCTCACACATTTCGTACCGCATGAGGGACCCCCAATTTGGTCCCGCTCATTTGGGCGCGGCGCTTACCTGATTCATGCGCAACAGGGAAGTCCTGGCACAGCGTGACGCACGAACATGGTGTCGTGCCGGAGGGCATGTGTCTACTGAAGGCATTTCTGACGCAGGGCTTTTGTAGGATACGCTTTTTCAGATGGGTATGGGGGTGAAGACGGGTGCGGATGGGGAGACTTTCGAATGGCCAGGCCTCGGGTTGTGAACAGACAGCGCCCCCAGGTAGTCCTGGAGGCTGGCGAGGATGTCTGCCCGCAGCCC